CGAAGTTTGCCGGCGAATCGAATTTGCGGCCATCGTTAGCGCCCGAGCGTTTGAGCTTTAATGCCCTCATCGACATATTACTCTCTAAAAGTGAATCAGTGAAAATATCACTAATTTAAACAGTAAAATAAGATTTCACTGAGAATCAGTAAGTATTTTACTGATCTTCAGTGGAAACGCTTATTTTTTAGTTATTTTATCTTATATCTCATTGATTATGATCAGTTAAAATAAAATTCATTGTAAAATCAGTAAATTTTACTGTAAAACCAGTAATCGCTAGTTCGTTCATTTACAATCACTATCTCTCTCGTATTTAATTTTAGTTATAAGAATTAAAGTTTGCAAAGAGCGACATTTAAAATTAAATTAAAATTAGAAGTATTACTTCGATTTAATTTCTGATACAATCTCATACAGAGGTTTCAAATATTAAATCGATCTTTATAAGTCGAACAAATAAATATCTGGCGACTTAATGAAAATTATTCGTTCGTTATCTATTTAAAATAACAAGTTCAATATGCATGTAATATAAATAAAATAAAATTTTTAATATAATAAATATTTAGTCAATATAAAAAAAACTTACCTTTTTAAAAAAAGGTAAAAAAAGGGCGCCAAGTTCATGCACTAATTGTATCCAACTGTCATATTGTCTACAAAAATAGTGATATAAAAAAATTGCGCCAACTAAGAATAAAAATTTGTACAAGATAAATAGTAAAAAAAATTTTAATTAAAAAAACTTGGCGCTGCCAATTTTATTAATATATTGTTCAACTTAAAAGTCTAAATTTTCAAATCCCGAAGATCTTAAGAGTATTAATAATAAATGTCCAGCAATTATACTTGCTGTTAAACATATATTTAATTGGAATATATGCCAATTTTATTGGCAGCGCCAAGTTTTTTTAATTAAAATTTTTTTTACTATTTATCTTGTACAAATTTTTATTCTTAGTTGACGCAATTTTTTTATATCACTATTTTTGTAGACAATATGACAGTTGGATACAATTAGTGCATGAACTTGGCGCTCTTTTTTTACCTTTTTTTAAAAAGGTAAATTTTTGGGGATTATATCACTTCTTTTTTTAGTCTAATTTGCTAAAAGATATTATATTAAAAAAAGTATGTATATACATATATATATATATATATATATATATATATATATATATATACAGGGTGTCCCATTTTAATGCCCCACCCCAAATAACTTTCTTATTTTTAATTTTAGAAAAAGATGTTTCAGACAAAAGTTGTATGGTTTCGAGGGGGACATAAGATGGTACCATTAATTTGATCTTGAAGAGTCACATGAAGGTTACGTGAAGATCATTTTCAATTTCTTAAATGGAACACCCTATATATTTTTGCATATTCTTGTAGCTTATCTCGAGAGCTTTCCAAAACACTATAAATAAACATTTTTTCATCAAGTACGTTTCGAGTAATGAGGCTTGAAATCATTTCTTAATTTTACATAAACCATAAAATATCTTGTAAAATATTCATTTTTTGATTATCTTACCTTAATACTTTTATGTACAAAATAATGAGAGAAATCCATTGGTGCAAAGAAAACATACAGTTGTTTTTAAGAAAAAATATGGAATTATTAATTGCAAATTACATATTTTTTTCTTAAAAACAACTGTATGTTTTCTTTGCACCAATGGATTTCTCTCATTATTTTGTACATAAAAGTATTAAGGTAAGATAATCAAAAAATGAATATTTTACAAGATATTTTATGGTTTATGTAAAATTAAGAAATGATTTCAAG